TTTATATTTTTGAGTGTTGTTTTGGGGGGTCAAGTATTCCTTTTAAGTTTCATACTTTGTTTTACCATTCATTTAAGCTATGTCTTGACTTTTTTCAAGAGGCACTTTTTAAGCTTTTTTGGAGCAGATCTAGAGTAGCCTTCTCTTTCAGGCTACTCCTGACTACTAAGACATTACCTTTGGGGGTTATTTATTAAACCCCCAATATGTTCAATTAGGTCTCTTCCCTCTGACTTTGAGAACTCAAATGATTCCTGGACTTGTATGAACTCTTGGGATTTTTCAGATTTTGATTCCCTGGAGATAGCTCTTTCCCTGAAAGTTCTTTACATAGACTTGTAGAGCTCTACTTGACCCATGACTAAATTGGCATTCAGCCATAGTCTCAAGGGAACTCCAACACAGATTTCTGGAGCTCTTTCTCTACATAGCACCCTCCTAGTATTCTGTCTTCCAAATTCTAGCCCTTTAGCCTATCCAAACTCTGATTTTTCTCTCTTTAATACAATAAGACCATTTGGTTCCTTTTGAGTTTCCCCTCTCTATAGCGTAGTCCAGAAACTGACTCTAGGCAGAAAGCTGTGGTAATCACAGAGCTCATGCATGTTTCCTTTCTCCTTGGGATTACAGTCTGTTGTCCCATGTTTGAAATCAATTGTTTCATATATTTTGTTCAGTGTTCTATTTGGTTATGGTATAAAGATAAGTCCAGATCCTGTTACTGCCTCATAGCTGATAAGTATGTCACTGGAAATATACTACTTTAATAATGACATCTTTTGGGGCGCCTGGGTGGCTCAGTTGGTTAAGCGACTGCCTTCGGCTCAGGTCATGATCCTGGAGTCCCGGGATCGAGTCCCGCATCGGGCTCCCTGCTCGGCGGGAAGTCTGCTTCTCCCTCTCATGCTCTCTGTCTCAAATAAATAAATAAAATCTTTAAAAAAAAATAATAATGACATCTTTTATTTCTTTACTACATTTAATAAATATTTATGGGACACCTACTGTGGAAATCTAGAGGTAAGTGAGTCATAAACTTATAATGCTATACAAACAAGTAAAAAGTTACAGTATTGTGGTTGCTTTCAAATATAGTCCCCAAATTCTTTAATACTCCTTTAATCAAGAATTGGGTTTTATTTCCTCTCCCCTTGAGTGTAGGCACTGTGACTGCTTGTCCAATAGAATATGACTCAAATGATGCTGTGCCCATTTCCTATCACATAGGAAACTAGCAGTTTCCTTTTCCTGTTTTAGGAAAACTAGCAGTTTCCTTTTCCTGTCTCTTGGAATGCTCAGTCCAATATGCTGAGAAACCAAGCAGACACACAGGAGGTCCCATACAGTTGTTCTAGCTGACAGCTCCAGTGACCTAGCCAACTGCCAGCATCAATTCCTAGACAGTGCGAGAGTGCGAAAGCTTTCAAACAATTGCCAACCCCTAGGTGTAGAGTCATTCCAGCCTTTGAGGCACCCCTGCTGAGACCGTGTGAAGAAAAGCAATCTGTGCCTGCAAAGCTCTGACTAAATTTCTGATTTGCAATCAAAAGGAATGATTATTGTTGTCTTAAGACAAGTTTGGAGGGGTTTCTATATAGTAAAAGACACCTGGAACAAATATAATACCATAAAGTGCTGTAACAGAGGTGGCCAATAATCAACTAATTAACACATATTTATTATATATCTATTACTGGTCAGGTACTGAGTCAGGAAAGCTTTTGGGAAGTGAAATCTGAGCAGAGGTTTAGAGAAGGTATAGAACCAGAGAAGGAAAAGCAGAAAAAGTTGCTTGTTTGAAGATATGGAAACCATGGAGCATCAGAAATGTTAGAGACTATGTTAAAATAAGACTGAAGAGATGAGGTGCTAGGGGCCAGTTCAGTAAGGATATAATTATTAAGAATCAGGATTTAATCCTGAAGACAGGAGATTACTCTGCACACTTGTAATCATGCAATTACTTTAATTATTTACTTAATGACTGTATTCCCCATAGGATATACTCCAAAAAAGGTTATCTCATATAAAGCATTTATCCTTATGTTATTCCAGCATACAGAATGGTACCTGGCACACATAAGGAATTAATAAATATGTACTGAATGACTGAGTTATTGAAGAACCATGTGAGAATTTTATAGGAATGATACAGTCAGATCTGTGTGTTAGAAAAATCATTCCAGCAGGGGTTTGGAGAATGGTTTGGAGATAGGTAGGTGTATTAGTCAACTCTGCTGTTCTAAGAAATGATCATAGATTGGGAAGCTTAAAAAAACAGAAATTTATTTTTGGAAGCTTGAAGTCTGAGATCAGGGTGTTAGCAAGATCTGGTGAGGACTCTATTCCTGGCTTCCCTTCTGGGTCCTCACAAGGCAAAGAGAGGAAGTTCCCTGGTGTCTATTCTTAAGAGGGCACTAATCCCATCATGAGGGCTCCACTCTCATGACCTCATCTAAATGTAATTATTGAATTATTTACCAAAGTCTCCATCTCCAAATACCATCAGATCTCGGGGTAGGGCTTTAATGTGAATTTGGGTGGGATGCAAATCAGTCCATAGCAGTAAGAAAGGAGAAAAACAGTAGGAGGTGGATGTAATAATTCATCTAAGAGATGATGAGGGTGTGAACTAGTGTGAATAATCTTCCTGGGGTATTTCTTTTCCTAAACTTTAAAATTATAGACTTTTCCTGGAATAACTCCATTGCACATTTTTAAACGTAGAATTTTCAAAATCAAACAAAAAAAGGGATTTAACATTTTAAAATCAACTATAGAATTTAGTAAACACATATTATAGAAATGTTTTACTGTGAATTTGACATATAGTCTCTATATTTTAAAAACTTAGGTAATCTTAGGGGTGTCTTGGTGGCTTAATCTAAGCGTCTGCCTTTGGTTCAGGTCATGATCCTGGAGTCCCAGGATCTAGCCCACATTGGGCTCCCTGCTCAGTGGGGAGTGTGCTTCTCCCTCTGTCCCTCACCTGGCTATCATGCTCTCTCTTACTCTCTCTCTCTCAAATAAACAAATAAAGTCTTAAAAAAAAACAAACAACTTTGGTAATCTTAAAAGTGAAACTCCTGCAGTTTGTGTTTTAAGGGATTAAAACAGAAAGCTAACCTCAAAATACAAACCCATTTCACTTTTTGTATTTGGCTTTTATGTTAAACATAACAATAATATTAAAGTTCTGCATTTAAAAATATTTATTATTTATAGTATATTAATCATAAAGGCCCCAAATAGCTAAAGTAATTCTTTTAGGTTAGAAGACATGTATAATGCTATCAAGACTAATTCCTTCACTATTCCCATTGCTTTTACATATTGATGATCAAGGCTTGAACAATTTGATCACTAGCTTACTGCCGGCAACAGAATAATTCAGTTTCCTTACTGAAGCACAAGGCACATCCAAATGCACTTTCATAAATATTTGGCTTTGATCCAGGGTGATTATGATAATGTGCCCCAGACACTGCTCAAGAACTTAAGATGGACAAGTTGTCACTTGATTCTGTCAGCCCAGTCATCAAGAATCAGTTTTTGAGAATGTTCTGCTTCTCATGTCAATAGTGATGTTTTAGAAGAATTTTTACTTGCCATAATGAAACACAAACAAGCTTCTGGCATTGGCTCCTTAAAATGTTAAGAACGGGTGTTACTAAATACATGTTTTACACTGTTGTGTTTTAACTGTGCTTCCGAAAGAAGTATAGGCCCATTATTAAAATATCTGGAAGATATAAAATGCGTAAAGAACAAAAAATCATCCCAAATTTTACCACTCAGAGATAAACATGTCATAATATTCTCATGTATTTCCTTTCAGACTTTCAAAATTGGGGTATTTTGTAATTTTACATGTTTTTGTAACCTGCTTTTAAAAACTTATATATTTAGACATCTTTCTATGAAAATATAGATCTATATAATCACCTATAACAGCTGTGGAGTTTTTACATTGTGTGTACTATAATTTACTTGACCAATATTAATTATAATGATTTCTTACACTTATTTGGTGCTTACTATATGCTAGGCACTTAAGGGCTTGGTTTGTATTCATCCATTTGATCCTCACAACCCTATTATTATTCGTTTCTCACAGATGAAAAATTGAGGTACCAAGAGGTGAAGTAATTTATACAACCTCTTAATATTGGACATTTTAGTGGCTAACAGTGCTTTGATATTATAAACAACGTTGCCATCAATATCATTGTTCATGTTCTTAAACAATGTCTTTATGATAAATTCCAAAAAGTAGAACTGCTGGGTCCAAAACTGTTCACATATCTAAAAGCTTCTGTAACAGACTTTCAGATATTTTCTTTAGGAAGACTACATAATTTAAACTTCGTTCAACAACGTGAGTGTACAATTCTCCACATCCCGTTTTAATCCCTGACAAAAAGGTATCTGAATGTTACTTTAATTTGCATTTTCCACTTTTAGAAATGAGCTTTCATTTTACAAAATGGATTTTTGTAAACACTCTTTGTATAGTAATCCTGTCGTTGACAAGTTGTAAATATTTGTTTACATGTTGTATTTGTAAGTGCTCTAATTTAGGTATAATTTACATAATTCCAACTGATGTGCAAGATGCTTTTACTTTGCTCCAAGTGGGACACAAAACCTCTAGGTGCTCCTTAAAATTTCTACATGACGTAGGCATAACTTGTTACTTATAAATAAAATCACTAAATAAACATTTTAAGTTGTTAGGAATCCCTCATCCGTTTCTAGCTCCATTTGCAGTTTTGTTTGATTTTTTTTTGCTCGGTCTTGGGGTGGGGAGGGGCTCTCGTAGACATTCTTGGGGTATGAAACTTATTTTCCAATCATCACAACTGCTTAGTGACTGCAGTCAGTAGTGCCAACGCCCAGCCACAAGTGCTTTCGACAGAGATTCAGAAGCCAGGCGTCAGGAACTCTCGGGAAGGTGCCAGCGTTACCTCAGCCTCTCCGAGGGAGCCGCGCGCCCTGACACTCCCCTCTTGAAGGATTCGGGCCAATCCGTTCAGCTCACATGACTTCATCCAAACAAGTTTCTTGTCACCTCAGGCAGCAACTGAACCCACAGCTTTTTAACTTAGGTGGCCCCCAACGAAGGAGTTTCCATCCCCCTCAAAAGGGACTATAAAATTATGACAACCGAAGGAGTGAGAGGCGAGCACAGGGTCGCACTCAACCCTCACGCGACCCTTTTTCTTGCTCAGTCTCTGATTCACTCCTGGGCTCGGTAGTCGGCTTCGGCGCGCCTGGAGGACCCCTTCCTCCGGAGACTCCTGGCCAAAGCAAAAGCAGAAAACGCAGGCATTACTCCCACCCTCCGGTATGACCGATCACAAGGGGAGTCAGGCAGAGGGGGCGCTATGTTGGGGTCTGTTCTGGTGGGGCAGGTGCCGGGCAGGTTCTGAGCAGGCAGCGCCGAGGTCGCCCAGGTTCCCGACAGGCTCCACGCGGGGGGCCTTGTCTGCGCCTTCGCTGTTGCCGCCGCCGCCGCCGCCGCTGCCGCGGTAGCTGGGGGTCGGTGAGAGGTGGAGCTGTCGCGCACCCTGTGGAGTCCGTCTGTGTTGCTGTTTTTGCCTGACGAGTCTTCTTTTCTGCGTCGCTCCCTGACTCCCGTGGTGTCGAGGGGGAGCCCCTGCGGACACCTGGGCGCGCAGCGGAGATGCCTCTCTTTGCCACCAATCCCTTCGATCAGGATGTTGGTAAGTGCTTTTGCCGCTCCCTGTCCGCCGCGCGCCGGAGTGCAAGCCCACCCTGCCCGCTCTCTGCGTGCGTTCCTGAGCCCCTGGCCGGGGCTGAGTGCTTCCCCTTTCCTGAGGCTCCTTTCTGAAGAGTTTGGAGGAGGTTGGGGGCTTGGCTCATCCTTTTTGAAAGAAATGGGACTCAGAGAGCCTGCGAAGTGGGCCTTGGGCGAGGGCTGTGGGTTTCGAAAGAACTGCTTTGGAGGGTTGATGTGGAGGGCCTCGGAGGAACAGCTCGTGTAGCATCTGGTGCTGGGACAGTGCTTCTGGAAGAAGGGAGTTGAGAGCTGAGCAGTACGTTACCTAGGGTAGGATTATACGCCCTCCAATAAAGTGTTTCCCTGGATAAACGTTAAACGTTTGGAACTAGGAGAATGTTTTAGATGAGCTTCCTTAGGGCATTTTAAAATCCTTTTTTTTTTTTTTTTTTGTAATTGTAACGGGAGGCGAGAGCTTCTGGCTAAGGGTAGACTCTCAAAAACGTTGGGAGAGATGAAAATGGAATACTTGGCAGCAACTGAAACCGAATTCAGGACCCGAGCCATTGTGCTGCATTCTTTAGGCTGTCTCTCAGTACTTTAAGAAGTGTGGAAGAGGACCTTAAATCTGAAAATGCTCATTTGTTTTGATTTTGAAATGCCTTTTTTGTTTGGTTTTTCTGTTTTCTGAGTCATTGGTTTTGGGTACTGAGCATACCAATTCAACAGGTTAGCTTCCACCCTCCTACCCCCCACCCCCCCACCCCTCCGGTCTGAGGGTAATAATTACAAGACTTTGAGCTTCCTGGAGTAGAATTTTGGGGTGATTTGAATGCACTTAGGAACTACTTTGACACACAAGTATGGAATGAAAGCAAGCCAAATACCATGACTAATTACTGTGGTAAAGAAATATAAGGACACCCTTATGAAATTGCTTTTTGTTACTTTGTATAATTTAATTATGAGTGGCAGGTGTTGATTTTTGCTTTTTAACTCTTCCTTAGAGCATGTCACTGAGACTTGGAGGTTTGGGTTAAGATTAGAAAAGGGTTCATTCCCATCTTGGCCATTGCCAAGCTCATAGTGAAATCATGGGCAAGTAATGGAAGCTCTTTTGAGTCCCAGAGTGCTCATCTTTAAAGAGTGGAAAAATACATTGTTTGTGATTCAGTGAAATAATATGTGTAAAGGGCCTACTATAGTGCCCTTATATAGTAGTCACCTACTAAATGATTGCTATTTTTGGTTCCAGTGTAAATGCATGGCCTGAATCAGCAGTGGAGGGAACTTTAGAGATAGCCAATAATATTTAATAAACAATTGGAAAATTGCGTTTAATTCAATAAGCTCTTGGCACACAGTACAGATGGTCCCCGACTCACAGTAGTTCGACTTAACGATTTTTCAACTTTAGTATGGTGCGAAAGGGATATACATTCAGTAGAAACTGTACTTTGCATTTTGAATTGGATCTTTTCCCGGGAAAGCCATATGCGGTTGGTATGATCCTCTCGTGATGCTAGGCAGAGAACGACACCCCCCTGCAGCTCGCAGTCAGCCACGCAACTGTGAAGGTATATTACCAATATATTTAGACCATTCTGCACCCATACTACCATTCTGTTTTTCTTTTTCAGTACAGTATGCAATAAATTATATGAGATTTTCAACATTTTGTTATAAAATAGGCTTTATGTTAGATGATTTAGAGGCTAAAGTAAGTTTTCTGAGCACTCTGCTGGCTAAGCTGCGATGTTTGGTAGGTTAGGTGAATTAAATGCATTTTTGGCTTAGGATAATTTCAACTTACTATGGGTTTATTGAGACTTGACCTCATCATAAGTCTAGAAAGATCTTTTACAGGACACTGTCTCAGTGACATAAGAGATTGATGAATAAGGCGTGGTTGCTGCTCTCAAGCAGTTTCATAACATTACAATAATTTCTAGGGCAAATGCTCAAAATAAAACAATTTCTTAATACCTCCTTCTGTTTCCAGAACTTTTATCTAGTTTTCATGGCCGTATATAATCTAGTTTCCAACTACGTTCACTTTTATATCCTACTGACTTTTAAACACACATTTCCACTGGGTTTAAATAAATTTCTTAATGTCAAACTCTTTCCCAGTACCTACACCAGTCAGTTCAAACATAGGCTCCTTCAGCTTTTATACTTTCACTTCTAATTTATTTCTTCTACATTTCTACATGTGACTACATGTGCTCATGATTAAACACCAACTCAATCTAGCTTGTTATTGAATCATTTCCTGATTACTCTAGCCTAGGATTTCTCAGTAGTGACACTATTGACAGTTTGGACAAGATAAATATCTTTGTTGTGGAGATCTATCCTTTGCAATGTAGGGTGTTTAGCAGCCTGCCTGACCTCACCAGTGCTGCCCCCCATGATTTTAAAAGTTTTCACACATTACTAAATGTCCCCTGGGGGCACAAAATAGCTCCCAGCTGAGAACTACTCTTTTAGCCCACTGTAATCTTTGCCCTTTTCCAAACTCCTGCAACACTTTGTCTTTACCAAATTATTTAGTATTAAAGATAGTTATATCCTGTATTATGCTCCTTATGTTATTAGTTGCCACATAGTAGGTGCCTAATAAATGTTTGTTTAATTGAGACTGTCTCACTTGAGCCTGCTAGACAGGAAGCTTCTTGAATGTAAGGACATTCTTTTGCTCTAGGAAAGCTTACCTATTAAAGTTAGTCAGGTTCTCGTATTTGGATCAATTCTCTCCTTATGATCCATATATGAAAATATGAGAGGTCATCCTGAGGAGACCTGTCAGAGACTCCCAGTAAATGATACTTGGAAAAAGTCCAATAGACTCCCATATTAATTTTTTTTACTAGTAAAGTATATAGAATATGGTGTGTAGAATAAATTTAACAACACTCCTTGTCACTTTGTCCAATGAGTGTGTGACCTTAAGGTAGTCATACTAAGTCACTTGATTTAATTATCTCTTAACATTGTATACATTTGTATTTCTTCAAAATTAACTGTCTTTAGCTTTATTCATAAACTGAATTGGTGAATCAGAAATTCACTGATTTGTATAATGTAACATTTTATACAAAGAGGCAAAATACTGTCCATAGCTTTTCCCTGTAAGAAATGCTGAAATATGTTGTTAGAATGTGAGCTCCGTGAGGACAGGGATTTGGTTTGCTCAATACTATATCCCAAGCACGTAGACCACTAATAAAACATTCAGCAAACATTTTTTGAATACATGAATCTCATTTTGGATGTTGTATTTCTTACTCAGTTCAACTTGAATTATAACTAATGCCATGAAGTTTTTATTTCAAAGTCCCTAGTGACTTCAGTCTTGCCAAATCTAATGGTCAATCCCTAGTCTATTTCTTTGTTGATCTCTTAGCTTTCCTCTTTGATCTACTTTATTCACTTGTTTTCCAGGACACCAAACTTTTTCTGATTTTCTGCTTAGCTTCTTTTTAGTCTTTTTGGCCTCTCCTTTTTGTGACTTCCAAATGTCGAACCAAGACTCAGGCTCAGTTCTAGAAATTCTTTGACATTTTTCCCCTTGCAGTCTTACTAGGCAATTTAGCTTAGTGTTAAAAATTCAGACTCTGGAGCTATACTACTTCAATTCATTTCCCAACTTTGCTGCTTATCAGCAAAGACACCGTGCCTCAGTTTCCTTATCTTTAATATGGGATATAGTGATAAATGGTTCTTAGTTTTCTTACCTAAACGTCCTCCTTTCTTCATCCTTGCCTGTTTCTTTTAGATGGCACCATCGCTATTTCTTGTCACTCATCTCTAATGTCTAGGAGTCATCATGGTTTTTTTCTTTTTTCACATTGCACATCCATTCTATCAGTAAGATCTTTTGGCTCTACTTTAAAAAAATATGTCCAGAATTTCATCACTTCTTTACCACTATTATCTTGCTCCAGTCATTGATATCTCTTTCTTAGAGTGTGGCAAGAGGTTTTATAGTTGGGCTACACAATTGCCCCCTATAGTCAGTTCTTATATACAAAGGTCAGTGATCTTCTAAAAATCTTAGATTATGTCACTTACCTGCTCAGAAACCTCCAGGAGCTTCCCATCCCACTTACAGGGAAATACAGATTCCTTATAATGGCTTAGTTAGGCCCCTTCCTGTGTCTCTGATACAGTTTTGACCTCCAAACTCTCTCATTCTAAGCTTCTTGGGTCTGAACACTCCAAGGTCATTCCTGCCTTTATCTCTATATTGTGCTGTCTTCTTTGCTTGCAATGTATTTCCCCTGGGTATTTGAAGATCTTGATGTCCATTACATCATTCAAGACTGTTCAAATGAGTTTCTAAGAGAGGCTTTCCCTAATTACCTACTGTTAAAAAAAAAAATCCATTTTTACTTCCTCACTCTTTTTCCTTGTTCTATTTCATTTTTCTTTATGGTACTCAATTACCTGACATTAATTGATGGATTGTCTCCTATGTGGAGTATAAACTCCACACGATGAGAGCTTTTCATTTCTATCCCTAATACCTAGGGACAGTATCTGATACACAGTAAGTACTCAGTAAGTATTTATCAAATAATAAAGTACTGATTTTTTTTTTTTTTTTTTTTTTTTTTTGCATCTCCAGTCTTGTATTTCTATTTGGTGTTATCACCTAGAAATCAATCTATCAGAAAACTGAACTTATTTTCCAGTCCGGTTCTATTTTCATTATATGGTAATTTTACAGTGTTCTAGTTATCCTGATTTGAAACCCTAGAGGCATCTTTGAATCATTACTCTGCCTCTGCTAAATCATCATGTCTTTGTTTTTGTAATAGTACTTTTTTGCATTCCTAATCAGAGTACTTTGGACCAGTTCGTCTCTTACAGACTTGGCCATGTCTTTAGTCTATTTTTCTGGTCTCTTCAGTATTATAAGCCACAGCCAGTTTAATTTTCATAAATGTTAATGGTACATTTATTCTCCTGCAGTAT